GTTTGGTAGGGTTCTATTTATCCACAGCTGGTGGCAACATTGGGCTGAACTTGGCTGATCTCAGAAAACTGAGCATTGTTATTACTTGCATGGGCAACAGCCAAGAAACCCCATGGGTTTTGGCTAGACCGTGAAGCTGAAAAATATCCTGGAAGACAGTGGTGGCAAACCATTTCAATGTTGTTGTCTAAAAGTATCCCAACATGGAATATCCATGAAATCAGGACTCAAGTGTCCTGGAAAGAGATTTTTACTCAGGTCTGTTTATCCATAGATGGTGTCCAGAGGCCTCTGCACCTAGATTGCAAAGGTAGGTCACACAGGGATGGCTTCCTAGTTTATTGCATACTGGAGGTCTTTCTCTCTGCAGAACGCTGAGAATGGTTATGCCCTGCAAGGAGAAAAATACTCCTTTCTCCATTCCCTTCTCTTCACCTTGGAAGTCCTGTCTGCACTGAAGATGTTACCTAGCTGGGTAATGAAACATTTGCAAGAATAGAAGCAAGCTCAGAGAACCCCAAGGACTCCACAGTCCTGCCTTCCTACAAGTCTGTTTCCCAGAGAGATGTTGCTTCCCTAAAGTCTCACACACACACATCCCGCAACATCCAACTCATCGGGGGTGAGTCAGATGCTAAAATGTTCTGGGTTTAGCTCCTTGCTTTGGTCCTAGAGTCACCGTGAGTCCTAGAAGGGCAGCATAGGAGCAGCAGCCAAAAGAACTGGAAGGATCATTACCTTCCTCCAGCGACTCGCCAGAAGTATGGGCATTATTCTATGAAACATACCATCTTCTGTAAGCTCACGCAGGCTATTTAAAACACCAAGAAGGCTGGCGTGTTTGCGACACACGTAAAAAACAGGCAGCACTTTGGTTGCACCGTCACAACGATCATCTTGACTTTTTTGGCTATGCCCTGCAGCCACTCCTGCCCTAAAGTGAGATCTGGCTGCATCAATCCTTGAACTCCGTTCAGACTTTGCCCTCCGTTGGATTTTTTTGGACAGAAAAGGAAATTCTTTCAACACAGGGAAACCTAGATTAACCGTTTCCTACATTATTTAATTTAATTTAATTTAATTTAATTTAATTTAATTTAGAGCAAGTTTTGGCTTGGCCCTAATTCTGCTGATTTGGAGAATGTGATTAGTTCCTGGCTTGCCACTCCAAGGTTACATTTAGCTCTTGGCTTGCAAATGGAAAGTGGGTAGCAAAGTTTACTTACAGTTGGTTGTGTGGAAGACCATGATTTAGACTGAAAGATGAAGTATGCATCGTTTAAAAATAAATAAATATAATAGCCTTGGTGATAATCTAACAAACACACGTACAGAAATGCCTCCCAAAAGGGGTCAAAAAAGTTACAATGGCAGGCATGACTGCATGATTGAAGCCTGCCCCTTTTTAGATGTGTCACGTGCCAGGACCGCCATCTTGACTTTTCTGACCCTTTCTTCATGGGCATCCCTGGTATAAAGTGCTGAAAATGCAAAAGGTCTTAGACAGAGTACCACCTGAGTAAATCTGTATTAGGGATTTTTTTCCTGTTCACTGAATGTTTGGCTCACTACCAGGCACTCAACTCCTTACTAGTTCACTATCTTCATACTGTGCCAGTTTCTAAAACCCAATTTTTTCCTGCTACTTTTATGGCTTCTTTAGTTACAGGATTTCTGACTGCTATGATTTAGTTGTGTCCTAACCAAACAATGCTGTGTCCTGGGCCAACGCAAGTAGCTTCAAAACAGCGGAACCTGTTTTGAATCAACTTTTTGCTCCTTCCACTTAACTGAAGTGGTGGGGATGGAGAGAATTGGTAGGCAGGAATTCTATGATTGTTTTCCATCTCCTCTCCTTCAACAACTGCAGTAGTCACTCAGTTTTGTTTTCTTGGTTTTGAGGTTAAATGCTTTCACAACTGGCCAGCTGTGAATCACCAAAACATCTTTTTGGTTTGGCACACATATATTTACCAGATTTTTTTTTTTAAGAACTGGTGCCTTCTCCCATCTTTGGAGCCCCATGTTATGACTTGTGGCATGTGTTTAAACTACGAACACAAATTACAGATACACAACTTTTCAGATTTCTCCAAGTGCTCCTGCAATTATAGCACTATTATTTATGTAGGTTTGCTGATTGTGCTCCAAGTAGAGTTTTCCTTAACATGCGACTTCAAAGCAGCAATTGCAATGTAGAAACAGGGGGGATAACCCAGTGCAATGATGCCTCAAAAAACAAGAGATGTTCTAATGAAATTCTACACAGAAAAAAAAAATGATGAGATCAACTGGATTTTTTTAAATGCAGGAAGATAAGCTACTGTGAGGAAGAAAAGAAAAGGCAGTAATGAAAGGCAGTGGAATTCTCAAGATCCAGCAAAACCTTTCAAAAAGTACCTTGATTTCATAGAGCAAATGAAATGGTATCATAGCACCTAGCTAAACATGGCTGATCTTGAAAAAGCCAAATAAGGTCATACTTAGTTACAACTTAGATCGAGCCCATCATGAAACCCCTGGATTCTAGACTAAATTGGTCATTTGAGAGAGCATCCCATAGAAGGCAATGATGAACCACTTCCTTGTAGTTATCAGAAATGGAACTCAAAACTTCCCTTTGAATAAGAATTATGGACAATCTTTTCAGCTTGTTGCATGGATGGAGGGTGGGTTACATTCTGCCAACTGCAGAGTGAGCTAATATCCAGGCCATTCTGACAAGAAAACCATGCTGTAGTAACGTTGCTGAACATAGTTCTAGACAAAGCAATCATGGTTATAATGTGGATGGGGCTTGGGGGATCACCTCATCCCCCAAACCACAGCTGGATGGTACCTTTCTTGGAATCAATCACATCATTTCCAGATAATCTGAATAAAGAGACTGGAATAATTGCAGATTGGGTGCTTAGATGGGGCCAGCCTCTTTTGAATTGCTCTGCATTCAAGCTATTGCCTCCATTATAAACTGATTTTGAAATACAAAGTTTAGGGCTTCAATATTCAGCCTAATGTTTTAATTTCTCCCTTTTCCCACCCTGTTTTTTAATATATGTAACATCTTGCCTGTTGAAAAGTTCTCATGAACTCAACAGCTTACACACACTTTGGTGTTAATTGTGTCACTTGTCCTAATAAAGCTAACCCCCAGGACTTTGATAAGAGTTAGACACTTTAAGCATCAATTGTGTTTTCAGCTTAACATAAACAATTTAAGTTCATTCTGAAATTGGATCATTGGATTTGTTCTCAACAGAAGCCAAAGAATATTTCTAAATCTGTATTATCACATAGTGGAAAGTAATTTAGGGAGTGAAGTTTTTCCCTATTATAAAACTAGAAATTATTGGTGCACCACATGAAAAGAAGGTTCCAGTTGAAACTAGAAGTTTGTAAATGGCTATTTTTTTCCTTTTAAAGAGAATTAATATGTTCACCATCTCTATGAAGAAGAAGGAAAATCATGCTGTAACAGACAGCAACCTTCCAAAAACATTTAACAATTTATTTTCTAAAGAATGCAAACTTTCAGTATTAAACTGAGGTATTAGAAACTGCTTATCTGTAATTAATGTTCTTATCTATCAGATAAGATCAGATATTATCTGATGACATTATGTTATCAGAAAATAACATTTTAAGAAAAACAATAAGTCTTAGCCTATGTATTTAAATAACAGCTTGTTCTAGTCAATTCAGCAAGTCCTCATATGAAACAGGTAGATTCATTACCTCTTTTTTAGATTAAGTTGTTATTAAGTAGACTGAAGCACAGGTGCAGCAACCATATCTGAAATAGCCGTTCACTGATAACAATCTGGATAGTCTAAGACTCAGTTAATTCACTGCAAGGCAACAGACTGGTTGAGCATAATACTAAACAATGGTTTAGCGTCACATGCGCAGGATCTTTACCGCAAAGTTTCTTCTCCTGGATCTTGTTTTCTGAGTTGGCTTCACAGACAAGATGGGAAGCTTTTACTTCCATCTTCAGGTAGCCACGGTTTAAGCCAAAATGGGTGGTTGGCCCTAAAAGTAGGGTTTAGGAAAACAACCTAGGACCATAAAATATGATTTTATGTTGGTTTGTTTCATTAAATCCTACTGATAGCTAATCACAGTTTATGTAGATTTGGAAACAATAAGAAAACTGTGTCACTGCCTGAATGAGGCCAATGAAAAATTAAGTTTATGGAGTGTTTGAAATTTTGCAGTTCATCCAACAACACCTTACACAGAAGCGTTCACTGACTTTGCTCAGACCTTGTTTAGCAACCACAATTGGGACGGGTAACTTGGTTCTTAAGTGAAACGGTCATTAAGTGAAACTGCAACTGTGCTTATAATCTTATTTCAGCTTTCCTTTGCTTTACAGACCTGCAAAGGTCATAAATGCAAGGATTGGTCATAAAGTTACCTTTTCATCACCGTCATAACTTTGAAGTGTTGCTAAATGAGGACTGCCTGTATAGCTTTTGTGTCACTCCAATTACAGACTGGAGATCATGTTGTAATTGAGTATTTGCAATCAGCCTCTCTTCTACAGAGATTATCTGTTTTTCCTGGAGATATTTTATGCAGAGCTCTTCTTGCCCTCTTTTGATATCTGGGCCTTTTCTGCCTCACCTCTTTAAAATTCCACAGGAAACAACCTTCATTTTTCAGTGCCTTTTGCACAGTTAGGGAAAAGAATCTTAGGTCTGTGCAGTCTATTTGGATAGTAAGGTATTTTTTTAAAAAAACCAAAACCATTTTAAAAATGAAAGGTATACTTTACAAAGTGTAAATCCCTGACCAAAAAAAGTTCAGATGGTAAAAGACAAGCACAAATTGTACTGCTGTTTCATTGGGAAAATACTATTTTCAGAGGGAGGGAGCGAGGGAAGGGGAATGAAGGACTGTCTCCTTCCTTCTCTTATAAAAAGTTTTATTTATAAAATGTTTAAAAAACAAAACAACTCCTCCCCTAAAATTTCCTAAAAGCAATATAAACTGAGGATGGGCATTTGTAAAAAGCTTGTTTTTCAACAAACTGTTAAGTACTATTCTTTCATAGTGACATCTTTGTATTCAAACTGTACCAATGAACACAGAAGGGATGATAAAGGCATTCTAAAATGTATAACATTCCTTCGATCGCAGTATCTGAAAGCCTAACTTTTCAGCTGTTGTTTATTGTTTTTTTCACAATAATGCACCAGTTACCATGGTCATAACTTGAACTTACTATGTGAACCTCAGGAACATTTTCTTCAAGCAGAGAGCACAGCTCCCCTTCTCGAAAAACATGGTAATAGCGCATAAAGGCCCTGGTGTCCTGTCCATTAACAGCACGGTCTCCCACTGCCACAGCTGATTCTATAACAGACTCACTAGAGCTAACAGATGAAATCCTTTTAAAGGCCGTTCCTGCAAAAGAATGACTGTTGCTTTGATGACTACAGCTGTTCTTTATGTTTTCCATAGAACCACTTAGAAACGAGGTTTCCCCATTGCGGTGTTGGACTAAGGTAGCTGGCTCACCATTAAAACCCCTCAGTGACCCTGAAGCTGTCAGCCACTGGATTTTTTTACAAGCTACACACTTTGTAAACACATCATCATAGTGATCTAACTGTTGTTCTTTGAGCAATGCTGCCTGACACCCCAAGTCTAAACTGCAATGTCTGAACGGCTGAACAGAAATGGTGTTGCTTGTCCATCCCACCATGTTCTTCAAAGGTTCTATCTTTTCATTTTGCTTTCTTAAGACAGACTCATCAAGAGATCTGGATGAAAACCATGAGCGAAAAGACCTTCCAAGGAAACTGTAAAATCGTTTTTCTTCATCTTCAGAAATCTTCACACAGCAGGATCCAGCTAAGCAGTTGTCCGTTCTCTGGGGATGTTTCTGATCCAGGGTACCGGAGTTACTGCACTTTGAACCCGTTGGTGGTTGTGAATGCATCGTCTGAGATTCTATAGGAGGTGTAGTATCAGCTTTATGCCCAGGTTTGTTGGATTCTGAAAGCAATCCTGAGCACAAGGCTTTGTTCCAAGGAACAAATATGTCCTGTTTCTCAAAATGCCGATTTTTTTGCTCCATAGCCCAGACGTAAATCATCATTTGGCCACCGGGTACCAGCACCCTGACCATTTCTTGGATTGCCTGGATTCGTCTTTGCTTTGTGGAGAAATGGTGAATCACTGAGAAAGAAGAGGAAATGTGTTCTAATGTTAGGGATGTGTATATTTTGAGTTAAAACATCTTTACAATTATGTACCACAACATTATGTTCATTATGCAGCATTTTCTGTATTTGCAAAATTAATCCTTGCTCTACTACTTTGTATGATAAAATTGAAGGATAACCTTGCCAGATAAGAGGACCAAAAAGCTAAGCAATTCATAAAATCCCTTGCCTTCTGGCCTAATTTGTTTATTTCTTCTATTTTCTATTTGTGGGAAATCTACAGGAAATGCTGCTATGAACTAGACTGGGAAGTAAAAAAAGAATAAAAAAAACTAAGAAGGCAATGGCAGACATCTTCCATTTTGTTGCCAATAGCTGCAGCAGCACCAAATAATAATAATAATAATAATAATAATAATAATAATAATAATAATAATACAGGTATGTCTGTGTGGTCACCAGACTAAGCTTGAATCAAGGGAGACTTCATCTTTTTGAACTTTTTTTAAATTAAAATTTTAAAACAGTACAATTAACATCTCTTGAAAAACAATAGCTATTAATTTGTGATATTACATATAAACAGAATATCTGTTGTATTAAAAACAGTATACTTCAAAGAGGAAACCAATTATATAGAAAAACCTGCATGGTGAAAAAAGAGTCATATTAAACTACCTAATGGTGGAAAAGACAAAAAACAAAAGACAGAAAACTTAAAAAAAAAAAAACTAAACAAAGCTAAAAACACACACACTAAACACACCTAAATTATATCTAAAGTTTAAAAATCAGGCTATGGAAATGATTTAATTCTCTTCAGCTTCATCATCACCATTCCCTTTTTGAACTAAGCGCTGAACGTAGATAGAACAGCATCTTATCATCCAGTCTTGTCTTGCCTCTCTTTCATTGCAAAGCTAATTTAAAGGCTGAAAGGGAGAATTCATCTTACCTGTTTTCTGAGATTTTAGCAGGCGTTACTCTAACCACATCTAATTCACTATAATCACTTCTCAACTTTGCAGTTTATCCATTTTTATGAAAACAAATGCAGTCTGTGGCCTAGAATTACAATGTGTTTCCTCAACAGCCCCCCACCCCACCCCCCGGTTTCAGGGATATCATATTTTCCCACTTCAGACAAAACACATTATGCTGTTGCTGGGAAAAGGCAATGACATCTCTATCTAATTCAGTTTGATCTGCTATGTACCCAGGCAGCTTACCTCTTCAACTTCCTGATAGATCACGCTCTCTAATCAACAAAGCATTGCATCCTCTTGCTGCTTCCATCCCAAACAAATTATTCTGTGCACCCTCCCCATTTCCAACAGTAGGGGAATCATTTATGCATGTTTATTTTTGCAGAAGATCCCAAGGTTGCTTATACCCAGTTAAGTTCAGTTAAAAAGATAGGATATAAAATGAAGAGAAACATCTCCGCTTACAATTTCCAAGAGCCAGCGCTGCTCAGCCTACTGAGGTGGGCCACTTTTTTCAACTGGAAATTCTGAGAACCAGAAACAGGGCTTTTGCCCTGCATGTTCTCCCTATGGGAAAGGGCTGATTGATTCATAAATTAGCTATCCAGAGAACATGGCCTGTCCAAAAATACGTTTGTTTCCTATCACATCCTCAGAATATTCTTTCCTATCTCAGTTTATCTCTCTCTTTTTTTTCTTCTGCAGCCATGCGCCCTTATTTTTTAAGAATGCATATATAAATTCCCTGAGCTGGACTGACAAACAGCCTGATTTCCTATTATTTAGGAAATACTAATGTAGTATCATGTGGTGTATATTGAAAGTGTTTCCTCTTATTTCAGCTGTTCAAGCAATTAAAATCTCTTACCTCCCACAGAGATGATGGCGTTGAAGCACAGATCCCGAAAAGGGAGGTGTAGGTTATCACAGATCATTACTTCACAGCCTTTATTTCTTGCAATTTCTATTAAGGGGCCACAATAATCACATCCAAGATTATATACTAGGTGGTTGACATCAAGATATTTTCCAGTCCCACAACCTTAAGCCAAACAAAACAGAGACATTGATTCTATAGGAAACCAGAAAATCAAACAGATGGCCATGGCCCTCAGCTCATGTAGGGACACCAGGTGAGTCCTGCTTAACTCCTCTGGGCATCTCTAAAACTGAAACATGGGCAGTTGCCACAGGATTTCTGCACTTTCACTTGAAGCTCAGGAATAAAGTTGGATGTTCTAACTTTGGGAGATGTCTAGAAAGAACTTAAACACCCCTCCCTGGAAATGGACCAGAGCCCTGCCAACAAAAAGGAGGCCTGCGAGAAATTCAACAGTGGGTCCTTTTGGATTGGTTCCCTTCATCAGTCCTCCCTCTGTGCTCTGTGTGAAGAAAGTAGGGCTCCAAAATGGACTCTTAAGATCAAGGGGAAGGGGTGTTATATGACTTCCACCTCTGCCCACAGAGGGAAGAAACTTTCCTCTATTTTTATACAGTGTAGGTTCTGTGTGGTCTAAAATACACAGATCCATGAGTTCAATTCTTGGGAGAGCATTTGAACCACACAGAATAACATTATGACCACCTGCATCTGAGGACACCCAAATAAGACAAAACTGGTCAAGAAATGCCTACCTCCTGGTGGTCAATGTAATTAAAATTAGGAAGTCATCCACCTTTCTGATTATTCTCCTCCCCACATCCCAAACTGTCATTCTGCCTATGTGCTCCCCACACAGTTGTGATTCTCTTGTCATCTCTTTTCCTCCATCTCATTCAAGACCTCCATCTAGAGCTTTATTTTTTTAAAAAAAAAAACAGAACTTACCTATATCTGCAATAAGGCTGCCAGGCTTCTGTTCAAGTAAAAACTGTCGAACCCGAGGCCATGCTTTGCCTTGCAAGTCATTGAAATAAGAGGCTGTGCTTTCATAGACCTTATGGACATGCTGCTTTTCTAGCTGGAAGGCCTCATGTTCCATTCTGCAAGAAACCACAGACCAAGTACGTATTAAAACAGTAACAATACCACAAATTATGATTAATTTCTAAAAACACAGCAATGGTATAGTGTAATGGTCAATCCACTATATCAAAGCAAATTTAGCCTTATCCTAGACTCACTCACTTTTGCATTATGTCCCACCATTTTGTTTTAAATTGTGACACCTGTCATGCCATTTAAAGAACCAGAGTAGTCCTATCTTCCAAAATATATTCCTCCTTTGTATCACCAGTAAAAAAAAACCTCTAACTCCTCCTCAAACTCATCTCCTAAGCTGTCTCACATCATTTCTACACAGAGAAACACATTATTCAATAATTTCCCTCCAAAGCTTCCAGAATAAGCTCCAACCAGCAGTTTGGTTAGTATTTCTTCCTTTCTTCCCTATGCAAGATACCATTGCCTCTTAAATGTTATGCTAGGTTTTTCTAGCAATGATAGAATATATATGAAGAAGAGAAGAGAAGAGAATATATATAGCTCAGGGTTGAACTGTGGAGTCTTTGGGGTTCTCTGAGCTCAGAGAACCCCAAAGATTCCACATTTAACAGATTCCCCCTTAATAGCATGAGTACAGACAGCACAATGAAAAGTATCACAAGTTTTACAGTTTCATTTATTAGTAGTGAGAACTTCTAGGCCATTTACCTGATCTTGAAATAGCTAAGTATGGTCAGGATTGGTTAGTATTTGAATAGGAGTCTGCCAGAAATTTCCAGGGCTATAAGCTAGACAGGGAAATCTAAATAATATTCCAGAAGAAAGCAATGACAAACCACTTTTGTACTGTTGCCAAGAAAACTTCATGGACATTTTCACAAGTAGAGCTCAACTGGAAGACATCTTTATCTTTTACCTAACCAAAGTCATTTTAGTGAGCTGGTTGCCATTATTTCAATATAGTTAAATTGTGTGATCATCTTCAAAAGCTGCATCACAGTCGTTTGTGTGGGAAGTAAACACTTCCCATGATTGCAACTTCCTTTTCTGGAAGCCACCTGTTTTTTCACACACACACCCCACAACCCCACCAGGAGAAGCTGGGAAAGAGTCACAGCTGCAAACTAAAATTTTCCAGTTAAAAGTATATGCTGAAATCACTTGAAAAATTAAAAAATTATGCCAAAGCTGTTGCCTTTCATCACCTGCAGAAGGCCAAAACTTGTTAATCTCCAAGGAATCAAACGTTTCCAAGATATCAAACAATATGTAAAGGAAGTGGAACATTCAGTAATTAAACTAACACATTTCAAACCTCTTAATTTTCCAAATTACCACAACCTGAATACCAGACAACTTTTAAAAAACAAACAAAAAGCCTTCTTCTAACTTTACTTCTTTCAGTCTCAGTTCAATATAAATGGCAAGCAAAGGAAATAATTATGAACTACAGATCACATATACACTTATATACAGAAATTATAGTATTGCTCAAGTTTATTGAAAGGAAATCCCACAGAATTCAATGAGCTCTACTTCCACAGAACTGAGGCTAAAGCCTTATTACTCTTGGTATAAAACGAGGCCCAGATACCTAAGGAAAAGAATAATTAATTTTTTAATCAGCTAATTACAGGTCTGCATTATCACATAGAAAGAAAACAATATGTTGCAAGGACTTTGAATACATGCATGTGCATGTATGTGTGCACCTGTGCTATGTGCTTATGCTCTACATGCAGAGCTGCATTGCAGGAGGCATGTCACTGGCCATCCAAAGTGAATGCTGAGGGAAAAGAGGTCCTTGGCCCCTAAAAAAAATCTATGGAAGCCATAGAGAATCCAGCCTGTTCTTATTTGTCAATCCAATTTAAATTTCTTGGATCTACCAGGCTTCTGGAGTCCTTCTCAACCCTTACCGGCAGCGACTCTCCAGGTTTTATGACCAGGAGGGAGCCTAAGAATGGAGCAGTCAGCAGTTGTCCAACTGCTCCAGCCATAGGGATGCGTCAGAAAATTGTTTTTGGATTTTTTCTCCTCTGGAGCACCTGCCCAGATCAGGCCCATTTTCAAACTCAAGTTTTCTTTTGCTGGCTTCTCTTCCCATGCCAAATTTGGTTTTATTCTGTTTTTGAGAGTTGTCCTCCTGATGGACTGAGTCCTGAGCCCTATGACATAATTTCTTTCCAGCACTCTGTTGTCTTGCCCAGGTGTCAATGGGAGTTTTAAAAAGTCTAACTTGTGGAGAATCTGAGTTAGGATTAACTCAGTTGGTCAACCCTTCCTACTTCAGCAACAACTCCTTTCCATTCTCATTTACCCCATGAACAATCTGGCTTGTTTTAATAGTTTACAAATGCTGGTGGGTATGGAGCCTGTCTGAATGTCAGTGAATAAGATGTTATGTGTGAAGGTACCTATTTGTATGCATGTGTACATCTGTGTTACTTACACCAAGGCACAGGGTATTTAACTTTATCCTCACACCATTTTTGTCATATTAATTAAATACAGGGTGACTTTCCAAGTCCAGTAATTGCATAAGAGCTTCTGTAATACTGGCCACAAAAATTAGGATGTCCTTCATAGCCGCCTCTCATCCCTGAATCTCCCCCCTCACTTTCCTTACAGCCTGTGTAATTTATTTTATTCCATGGTTTATTGCCCTCCCCGAATTCAAATGATCCTTTTTTTCCAAAGAGGATCTAACTGGCCAATTGAAATTTTCATCCCTTCTACATCGACTACATCTTGTAATTGGGCTGCTTAATTTGTCCCCTTGCAGTGGGTATACAGGAGTATGGAAATGGCGTTGAAGAAAATATGTGGCAACTGTTAGGAAAACAAGAGCTTAGCCTGGAAAACAGGAAAGCCATGAGAAAGAAACTCAATATTATCCTGCCTTGACTCTCTTTGGTATAAGAGTGACTGAAGGAGAAATGCTGTTGGCTTTCAAGATTCTATTATTATAGCCTATATTGATACTATGGCCTATATAGTCAGTATCAATAAACAAGAGTTCTAGTATTTCTTTTGGTGTCCCTTTCATGACCTAGTTACCTCCAAGAACTGACAGTGGGGTTCATTGCAAATAAGACTCTTCAAAGCCTTCCTGTAAGCCAACTGAGTCTCATGGAACTCACAGAGGGTGAGTCCTCTTCAATGGTTCATAAAAAGCAGTCAAAGTATCCTTCCTCTCCTCTGAAAACTTTTTCTTCCACTCTTGGAACAAGCTGCTCACACTGAATTCAAATCACTTTAGGGAATTGCCAGTTGGATGTCAACAGTGCATTATATTTACTTAGCTGAAAGTTGAAACTGAAGTCTTTTCAGCCAAAGCACAAAGTCAACACAAACTTTTTCCAGGGATTCTTCAATGGTGATGTGGATGCCTGAATAAATTCTGGATGAATAGGTAGCATGTGAACTACAATTCAGTAGAAATGGCATTGAAATAGAAAGCGGCACTAGATTATTTAAGAACCCCAGGTATAAATAACATGCTTAAATCACAGCTTATATTGCTAAAGGATATGCAGACTGGTCTCACACGTTACACCAAGTCATAATCTGTCTTTTTATTTGCAGCTTAGTGCAGTGTATGGACCTGGCTACTATGCCTTAGACTAATTTATGAACTCAGTCACTAAAGCTCAATCAACAAGCCATGGTTTTTTTAAAAAAAAAAAACTGGAGCTAAGGATGATAACAATCAACATTTTACATAAAGAAGAGAAGCTTGCAACTCTATCTTCAGAAAAGTTGGTTTAGTGCCAAAGGACCAAACTGGGCAGAGAAGTTGACATGACTACAATGGCACATCAGCTTTCCTACAATCCACTTAGTCAAACAGCACTGAAAAAGACTCTCCAAGTGGAGTAACATATATACTTTTAATATCTCCAGGTTAACAGGCCTTAACTGACCTCCCACCTAGAAGAGCTCTATGCCTCCCGGAGTGCATAGCAGGGATCTTGGCTTCTGTCACAGAAAGAGAGCCAGGCTCTGCTACAGTGAGACTCTCGATATCTGGCATCAACCATGACATCAGCTGTTAAATAATATCAGTAAGCTGCCCAAGGCCCACATCAGTAGCAAGAAGACATGACTTATTTACTCAGCCCTTGCTTTTCTGATTGCTGCCAGGGATGTGGAAAGAGCAAAAGCCACCATCTGGCCACCGGAAAAAAAAAATCCACTTGAAGCTTTCGGGATAGGAGGCCAACTGAATCTGGACTTGATGCGCATAGCAACAACCTTTGCCAGGATCCATGCAGGAAAATGGTCCAGCTGGGAAGTCAAAAAAGGGCAATGATTGTTGCCATTGCTCTCTCTTTCTCACACTTACATCCACACCCCCACACAAGACTTCTACATATTACTGTACAAAAAATCAGCAGTGAGTTTCCATGATTGAAAAAACTTCTGGGACACCTGCAATGATATTATACATTTCATACTCTTATGAGAACAATATCCCCTGAATGGCAGGTTTAATCTCTTTCTAACAATAAATAAGTAAATACGTGCACACAGATCTGCAGTTTCCCCACCCACATACATTCAACACATCAAGTCAAATCAACTTTTCCCCATAGGATATTTTTAAAAAGCAGTGCAGGAAATCCAATTTGGGTTGGGTCTTTAGAGTTTTCAACTCTGCAGAATTTGTCACATATTCCATCAAGTCGAATATACTCTGGGGAAGTGCCAGCTTAATTCATGTGGTACAGTACAATGTTATTGGTTAGCTAAAAAAGGAGCAAAAGTTTGTTCCCAGGAGCAACTCTGACACTACTTATCTCCTGCTGTAACTCCACGTTTGTTCAAACAGGAATATGAATAGTTATCAAGGGCAAAAGTCACTGTCTAAGCTGAGAATACTTTGGAATAATTAAGGTCAACTGTGAATGAATCATAGGAAACTGGGTTTCAAAATAAAATCCAAGAGTCTTGGGTCAACATGCTCACAGTAGATTTTCACAAAAAGAGATCAACATGAAGATCCAAGGGTATGTATATCTTCTCTTTGCCCAACAGTAAGTCTTGCCTTCAGATTTA